CCCCCCCCCCTTCCCCCCGCTATAATTTAGATAATAAAATGGAGACTTTTTGTACGTCATTAACTGAGCCTTAACAAACAGAGAACAGAAAACCAGAGGTCAAATATTTTGAATTTATAATCTTTTTATAATGTGCTTAATCTGGATCCTCCTGCCTGGGGTTGAATTCAAGTTGTCGGGTACCTCCACGTCTTTCTATGCATCATTTTTAATTATCTTTTGGTCATATCCCAGTAATTCAAGTTGTCGGGCACCTCCACGTCTTTCTTTCATTTTTAATTATCTTTTTGGTCATATCCCAGTAATTCAAGTTGTCGGGCACCTCCACGTCTTTCTATCATTTTTAATTATCTTTTGGTCATATTCCAGTAATTTCCCTAGAATTCTTAATCTGGATNATCATCCTTAAAACAATTATATATCCATATTTAAAAGAAAAAGTATCATTATTATCTAACTATAATCTGTATATCTATAATATCTATCAACGATATATCATCCTTAAAACAATTATATATCCATATTTAAAAGAAAAAGTATCATTATTATCTAACTATAATCTGTATATCTATAATATCTATCAACGATATATCATCCTTAAAACAATTATATATCCATATTTAAAAGAAAAAGTATCATTATTATCTAACTATAATCTGTATATCTATAATATCTATCAACGATATATCATCCTTAAAACAATTATATATCCATATTTAAAAGAAAAAGTATCATTATTATCTAACTATAATCTGTATATCTATAATATCTATCAACGATATATCATCCTTAAAACAATTATATATCCATATTTAAAAGAAAAAGTATCATTATTATCTAACTATAATCTGTATATCTATAATATCTATCAACGATATATCATCCTTAAAACAATTATATATCCATATTTAAAAGAAAAAGTATCATTATTATCTAACTATAATCTGTATATCTATAATATCTATCAACGATATATCATCCTTAAAACAATTATATATCCATATTTAAAAGAAAAAGTATCATTATTATCTAACTATAATCTGTATATCTATAATATCTATCAACGATATATCATCCTTAAAACAATTATATATCCATATTTAAAAGAAAAAGTATCATTATTATCTAACTATAATCTGTATATCTATAATATCTATCAACGATATATCATCCTTAAAACAATTATATATCCATATTTAAAAGAAAAAGTATCATTATTATCTAACTATAATCTGTATATCTATAATATCTATCAACGATATATCATCCTTAAAACAATTATATATCCATATTTAAAAGAAAAAGTATCATTATTATCTAACTATAATCTGTATATCTATAATATCTATCAACGATATATCATCCTTAAAACAATTATATATCCATATTTAAAAGAAAAAGTATCATTATTATCTAACTATAATCTGTATATCTATAATATCTATCAACGATATATCATCCTTAAAACAATTATATATCCATATTTAAAAGAAAAAGTATCATTATTATCTAACTATAATCTGTATATCTATAATATCTATCAACGATATATCATCCTTAAAACAATTATATATCCATATTTAAAAGAAAAAGTATCATTATTATCTAACTATAATCTGTATATCTATAATATCTATCAACGATATATCATCCTTAAAACAATTATATATCCATATTTAAAAGAAAAATCATCATTAATAATTATCTAACTATAATCTGTATATCTATAATATCTATAATATTATGTAAGTATTACATTAAGTTTATTTTACTAAAATACAAGTTAAGAACAAAATTTTGTTTTAGTAAAAGAAATGTTTTATTTTTATTCCAAATCCAATTTTTACCAGGACGAGTCCTAATAATAAGTTCTAAACGCTGCTAGTAAGGATTTAATACTTTAAAAAAAGAATTATTTGTAGAGGACTTACAGTGAAACCCTTAATAAAGAATACATCGGAAGAATTTATCAAATGTCGTCTTGACAATTTTTCAATGAGTTTTATACTATATTGCGTAAATTTCAGTATTTGCGAAAATAAATAAATAGACATGAATATGCGGGAACAGTTTTAAAGAGTTCCATATAATCATTTAATTAAAAAAACTAAATATCTGCAACATTCCATTATCAGAAAGTGAAGAATACGACATTTGATGAATTCTTTCGATGTATTCCTTATTAAGGGTTTCACTGTAAGAAAATTCCAGTCGCTGAGAAAAGTTCAGCAGCTGACTTAAGGAGGTTTTCCAATACAAAAATTCCCAGCTTAGGAATTAAAAATATTTTCTCAAGTCCATACCTGTATTTTATTTGTTCGTGTTTTCAGTTCTGAGTATTTGGGAATTGTACCGCTTTTACTGGAACACGTCTCTAGCAGTCCGTAGTTTTTTAATACTTCAGCAACTAATTTTAGGAATATACAGGGTCACCCAAAACACAAGGGATTAGACTTCAGAGACGACTGTACGAATTTTATTTAATCATTATTTCTACAATTTTAAAACTGTTTACTTTTTATTGTCAAATCATTAAGTTCTCAATAAGAAGATAGAAAGATAGAAAAAAATAAGAATTTTTAAGGTCGTTTTTATGGTCTTATTCTTATATATTTTCATTATAAATGTTTCCCCATCTTTTTAACACCATTATGTAGAGAAGTTCGGTTTTTTAAAGCATTGAATCTAATATTTGGCGGAAACAGATATTTTTTCGAGGGAGAATCGGAGATATTTTTTTTTAAAAAGTATATAGAAAAAACTTGAAAATTAATTTTTGAAAAAATTCTATTAACTGTACATAATTCTAAATTGAAACCCCAAGTGTAAGTATAACAACAAAGAAGGATTTGTAGCATACTAACCCAGAATAGGTATTTGTGGTAAATCAGAGAAGGTAAAAATATTGTTTTCTTCCGCGATGATTTTATCCGCAGAAACGATCCGAATTTTCTCACCGTATATTTCTAGAAAAGAAAAATGTTTTATTCAATTCAAAGAGAAGGTGCAGTGTATGATTTAACAATCTACTAATAATAATCTAATTTAAAAAATTCGAAGCATGGACGAGCATATAATAGAAAAACTTCAGAAGAAATCCCAAGAAGTATGAAAAACTCAAAATGATCGATTGTAAGAAGTCTTACTTCACATTTATAATTTTTTTTAGATTATGAGGGGGGTTGGGGGGTTGTGAACTTGTAATTGAACACAACAAAAATAATACAGTGAATTGTTAAAGGGACTGTAAAGGAAAAATGAAAGGGGGTATCGCGACCCATGAAAGTTTTATCTGATGTTCCTGTCTCGAGAAATTGATATAAAACTGTTTAA